CCCCCCCCGCCAGGACACAGGTGCTCACTCCTCTGCAAGGCAAACACGTGCCATCTTTAACTCTGCTAATTGCTGAAAGCAACATTTCAGTAACTTTGTAATAGCCTGGAAAATACTTGGTAACAAAGCTGGAGATTTCACAAACATTACAAAACAGATAATACCAAAAGACCCAGGAGTTTACCATGTTTAAGATAATCAAATCCACATCTTGTGGGTTTATACATTTTATTTAACCTTACATTGGGCACATGCAAGTTAATAAACTATTATGGCTCACTCCAAATTTTACAAACACATATATTTGAACACACCTCCTAAATTTGTTTTTTGAGATATAATGCGCACATCACTAACTCTGAGAATTATGGGAACTACAATTACACACATAACAATAGTTACCTTTAAGCTTAGAGTGCTGTGCCTTTCCTATAGACTCATAGTAACCTTCACTCTGCTCTGTTTCACTAAGAAGTAAACTAACTGCTTTTCTGACGAGTAACCACCCTGGCAAGGAGGAACTAGCATCTTATAGAAAACAAACTAAACAGAGCCAGGAATAAAATAACCGACACTGTTTAGGTTGACAAATAATGTGAAAATGCCAGCCATATTTAAAATGAGGCACAAAGACTCAAGGAGTCAAAATTGTATCTGATGGTCTTTACGGTTATATTTTCGGAGACAATATTTCTGACATTCCAACTAATTACTAAGGATGTTCAGGGCAAAAACCAGTCTAACCAACTTCTCTGATGGATATTATTCATAAAGTGTGTCCTACCATCAAAAAGGGACAGACTCATGCACACATTCATGGCAAACAAGCAGCGGTTATTTACATCGTTTAAATGTTGGATTTGCCTGTTGGATTTACCAAGAGGCACACAAGATTTCTAAAATCTCTGATGGCCAGTTCCATTCATCAGTCCCCAGTAGGTGCTTCTAATATAGAAAATGATGGAAAACGACCTCAAATAAATGGTCAATAAGCTTGGGCATGACACAGAAAAATCTAACCTATCTAATCTCTTAGATAATGTTAAAAGCTGAAGAAACCTAAATTTGAATTGAGTAAGCTAACGAAGACAATATTTCTGGAAAATCCTTTGCAAAATAAAAATGCCTAGCTTAGCAAAAACAAGAAAAAAATACTTGATAGATTTAAGCTACAGACCTGAGAATCTTCTTAAAAAGCAGAACTTTTAAATGCTGACAAAGAAGAATTCTTATGGGGCAGAGGAAGCAGGTGAGTGGTTAAGAGAATACAACATAAAATATTTTAAAAATATTAAATAGGGGTGCCTGGGAAGCTCAGCCAGTTAAGCATCCACCTTGGGCTCAGGTCATGGTTTCACAGTTCGTGGGTTCGAATCCTGCACCGGACTCTGTGCTGACAGCTCAGAGCCTGGAGCCTGCTTCAGATCCTGTGTCTCCCTCTCTCTCTTTCCCCTGCTGCCCATGCTCTTGTCTCTCTCTCCCTCTCAAAAATAAATATTAAAAAAAAAAATGTTTTAATGCATTAAATAAAATTTTCTGCCCTCAAAGAATACATTATGTTCACTTCATACACACTTTATTCTCCTCTCTTTGTTCTATTGTCTTTAACTTCTTTGCCAAATGCTAGCCAATATTTAATTTTTTTCTTCACAGAAGGAAACCACACTAAAACTGTTATTAAAAGAAAAATGGAATCGGTATATATGCACTCATATTTATATACCAGTAGAAAAGGACGGTGAAAACCAAGTCAGGAATAAATGAGAAAACAGTGGTAACCAAAGCTAAAAACTCATTTTTAAGAATCAATCACATAGTGCCAGTAATAGCAAACATTTATCGAGCACTTACTATGTGCCAGGTATCATCTAGCATCTGTCATGTACAACCCCACTTAAGGCTTACAACCAATCTGTGTGTCTGCTGGATCCTCTGAGAAGCACATGGAGCTCAACTGGGGGACAATGCTGGTGAGAAATTAAAAAGGAAGATTGGGCAGGCAGTCCAGATCACACTGCCATCTGACACTTATCAAAGGAAAGGGGGAGGCGACACTTTGGATAAGGGGAGACTCACTGAGACCTCGCTGCAGTTTGACAAAGCCTTGACCATCAGGAACTCTTGAAACAACATTTGCCCACCAGAGGGGTCTCATCCTGGGCTGAAATGCCTACACCCAACCCCCACGGAGCTCAGTCAGTAGCTGGGGGCTATCCGGGAAGATCACGACTCAGCTTCAGAATCCAAGGTGGCTCCTGAAGGTGCTAGGAGCTAAAGCACTCCTTAGAGCTGAAGAGCAAGTCCCTTCCTGCAGGGAGATCTGAGCGAACTCACAGCCACCACCGTGAGGTAGGTTTTATCATGATCCCCGTTTTTCAGAAAGACAAACAAAGGTTATGTAAATTTCCTGAAGTTACACAACGAGTAAAGAGCTAATAAATGTCTCTTCTGTTCCTTGTGGCTGATAGTAAAAATTACTTTATAGTTTATTGAAGTTTTTAGAAATGTTCAACTTTCATCAATAAGTCGTTTAAAAATGCCTATTCAGGGAGCGCCTGGGTGCCTCAGGCGGTTGAGTGTCTGACTTTGGCTTAGGTCATGATCTCACAGTTCGTGGGTTCAAGCCAGGGGTCAGGCTCTGTGCTGACAGCTCAGAGCCTGGAGCCTGATTCGGATTCTGTGTTTCCCTCTCTCTCTGCCCCTCCTCTGTTCATGCTCTTTCTCTCTCTCTCTCAAAAATAAATAAACATTAACAAAAATTTTTAATGCCTTTTCAAAATATTAAATGTTTGATATTGTTTTTAAACCTGCTAACTATACAAAAAGACTGCCATGTAACAGTTTTCATTTTAAAAAAGCAAAAGGATGTGGGAGAATATATTCCAAGGTCCAGAAAGGCTTAAATCTTATTTTCCTTTTCTCCTCAGTCAAAAGGTGGTGTTGTTTTCAACAATTAAATCTCTGGGCTTCAGTCAAAGGTGGTTAAGTTTCAATGTGGATGAAGAGTTTACAAGATAGTTCTAAACATCTGAAAACTGGAATTGCAGGAAAGTGCTCAGAGACCCGTCATTACATTAGCACTCCCAGGTGCTGTTATTACTATTTTACTGCCAATACACTGGTGTCTTGTCTCCTTCACGAGGGAGTTGGAAGGGCCAGAGGAAAGAGTCAAGCAGCAGGCAGTCTAGCAGTGATAGGTACCATTTGCCTAACGACATTTTCTAAATCTATTTCTTTATTATCTAGAGACCCTTCTCCTCTCCCTTCAATTGTCAGGTTTTTTGGACTCTGAGGAAAACACTGCTTGGAGCAAGCAAGCTGGAGAGCCCAGGTGGCACGGGCCTTCAGAATTCCAGACTCCTCCACTCTTGCCCATGCTTTCACCACAGTCTGTCATGGGAAAGAAGAAGGGTAGAGAAAACCTAGAGAAGCAAATTTTAGACCTAGAGTTGGGATCACCTTTGCATGAAATGTAATTCTTCTGGCTCTTTCGTTTTGTTTTTAACATAACTTTTTTTTTTAATGATTTTTTAAGTTTATTTATTTATTTTGAGAGAGAACGAGAGTGCAGAGGAGGGACAGAGAGAGAGAGACAGAGACAGAGAATCTCAAGCAGGCTCCACGCTGTCAGCGCAGAACCCAACGTGGGGCTCAAACTTACAAAACGTGAGATCATGACCTGAGCTGAAGTCAGACGCTTAACCCGACTGAGCCACCAAGGCACCCCTATTTTTAACATAACTTTAAAAAAACACATCCTAGGAGCATGTGGGTGGCTCAGTCGGTTGTGTCTGAC